TAAAAGCAAAAATGCATTTGCTTCATGATCTATTTGCTTGCATGTACGAGTATGCCAATAAAGTGGGTTCATAAATAATATCAATAAAATCGATTATTAATTACATCTGCTTACTGGAGATACTTAAATCAACCCCAAGGGCTCGCAGTAATATTATTTCCACATTATCCTTACTTCATCTAATTAGCTCTTAAACAGAAATAAGTTTTCACTTCTATTGTTTTTTTTAAGGTTTGTTAGGTCTATAATGTCTCTGACCACATATGCCTGTGAATCGGGGCATAGCTGGCCAAAAGTGTTGGAGGCATTTATAGACATTATTTTATAGTTAAATAACTATAGGCTTTTTTATTTTTAAATATTTATCTATAGTTAACAAAGAACTGCTAACTTTACAAGAAAAAGAGCAATATAAATAAAAAATAATAATAAGAAAAAAAGTTCATAAATATACAAAAGAATTCAAAATATTAAATAGTATAACTTAAAATAAAATTCAAGAAGTGAAACAAGTAGGAGAGCAAGATAGGATTAGAGACTGTCAGAATCAAGTTGCAAATATATTAATGATGAAATAGTCTTATTGGAGTGTTCGAAGGATATCTTGTGTGAAAAATGATTGAAATTAGAACACAACACACGAAAGGGTTCATGTGAAGCAAAGCTAGATCTACAAATAGGCAATCGAAGGGTACGAAATGCACGAGTAAATCTTAAGGGAACTGCCAAGTCTACGAGGCTAAGAAGGAAAGGGGAGCCAATATCACCAGAAAAAAGTTTGTGAAGCAGTGTGATCTGTTTTAACCTGGAAATGAAATTATCTTTTGGAAATTATAACATAATAAAATTCGATATCTTTATTGTACTAGAATTTATTTTAATATAAAACATTTTATAGTAATCTGTATCGACAGAACAATTTGTGGATTAATTAAAATAAAATAAAAATATTAGCATAAATTAAAAAATAATAGCATTTATTAACAATACTCGTACAAGTAACAGAATGAAGTATTTTTTGCAATATAAAACACTGCATTTCTTACAACTGGAAAATAAACTGCAAATCGATCATTAAATTGACATTTACACGTTGTGAACTGGATATACATACCTACTATACCCGTAGGTATGTACTCAATCATAATCAGAGTCTCGCTCCCATTTACCGGAAAATAGCATAAACAAAATTGTATTTGCAATGAAATTCATAAGTAAATGCGAATGGATATGGATGAGGATATAAATCAACTGTGCCCTCAGCTCCTCGGTTCCGAATTGCATGGACATGTGAAATCCGACTGTTGACAAGTGTCACTGGGATGCTATGACAAAGTGTCAAAAGAATGTTTGACATGTGACTGTCTGTCCTTGCTGTCGCCTTCACGCCTGTAACATTTTTCATGTGCCCAACTGGCTGGCACATTTGCTGGGCTGCGTTTGGGCTGGGGACAGAAAAAGCCTACTTTTATATTGCCGCTTTTTGCTTAACATCGGAGTGTTTTTTTATTATTGGTTCCTACGGGAAACACAGTCGTGTATCTGACAGTTCATACATATTGTACATACTTACAAACCTGTACATATGTATGTACATTCGTGTACATAAAAACTTCACACGTTTTTATTTACCTTTTAGACAAGTTTCAGGGCATTGCCATCCTTTTGCCGCCACTACACGCCGTCTTTTGTTCTTGGGTCTATTTATATGTAATTTCTTTTGTCAAGTATCTGTCAGCGATGCCGACTCTTTCTTGAACAAGGCTTTCAAGGTTTCAATATGAGACATTCTCTCTGGGGCCGACCATTCACCACAAAGTTCAAGTTGGCTTTTTATTTAATTAGAATGAAGACTTTTCACTTAAGTACATAATGAGTCTAGTATAAGCTGATTCTAAATTTCAATATTTGCCTTTTCAAAATGATCAGCAAACCTGTTTTTCTGGTTAACTTTTATTTCTGCTCTTCGAAACGCCTCATGCTAAGTATATGGGAAGCAAAGGTTTTCTGAAAACTGAAATGCCTCCAGTGGCGAGCTGCTGCGTTGCGTGGCATCTGAAAACTTGTCAATGAATCGGCAATATTAAAAGGAATATCATGTTTATGGCAAGCAAAAAGTTGCAGATAAAGCAAAAGCAACAGCAGCAGTTGTGCCTGCGGCTGCGGCTGGGGCTGGGGCGTTGCAACTTACAAACTATTCGTACAAGAGAAAACCAACCCAAAATCGAATGCTTAAAATAATATTTCTACTCTGTGCGATGCATGAGTTTCTCTCTTGGCCGCGCTTCCTTCCAAGAAACTTTGGCTACGTTCATGTTTGAAGTTGTGCACTTCAACTCCCTCTATTCCACTCCACTCCACTCCACTCCAATCCACTTAACCTCTGAGCTCTGATGTGCTCCTAATTGTCTGCTGCGTTGCCTGTGCATGCATAATTTTGCAATGTACGAGTGCGAGCGCGTAGAAGTTTTAGCCAAAGAGTCGAGCACGGCAGGCGCACATCTTTCTATAGACATACATATGTACATACATATGTATCTACTATACATATGTACATATTTATGTATGCACCGTCTTTGGTCTTGCCTGATCGAAAGTCAAAGGCTGTGAATGCAAGCGTAACTCGATTTTAATTGGAGCTGCACGCGCTTTAATTCGCTTTGCATATCTTGTCGGCACTGCGACTATAATTAATGATGTCTTTAAGTGAAATGCGTGTCAAAGGTCATGTTTGCCTCAACTGGGTCAATAATTGCGTGCAGGGCTAGGCAGCTACCTCACTTTTCATGCCATTTAAGTTTTGTCTCCCAAAAGCAAAATTCCGAATGGCCTTCTTTCGTATCGCATTCGCAAGCCGTCTTTTCTTTTTTTTTTTGTCAGCTTTCTAACTTCTTCAATGGCTTGTCCATGACTAAAAGCCAAAGATAGGCCAACATTGAGTTCCATTTGGCCGAAATGCGGCCATAACAGCAAGTCATTTGTGGTAGGTAAGTTAACATCTAAAGCGAGAGCGCAAAGCAGAGAGATAGAGAGAGAGAGAGAGCGAGTTATTGAATATTGCTCTCTTGGTCCCCATCCTCCTGTTATGTGGACTTCAAGCTTACATAGCTATCCCTCTGTACAAACTTAACAGCTGTACTTTTTGACTCACATTCCACATTTCCACGGTAAAAACTGTTGTATCCTCGCCTCTTAACAAATGTGATACAATTATTATTTTAAAAGTAACAGTAAATGAGGTATTTTTCAATCGAATCTGTGTTTAAGCAGGAAATTAATATCAAGCAAGAAAGAGTTAATTTAGTTTTTATATTTATATTATTTAGAAATATTTTTAAGTGCCAAGTATGTTGAAACAATTACGTTTATTAAAAAGTTTCCACCATTTGAAAATAACCAAATTTGTTCTTTTTAATAAAAACAAAAAGTTAAATAATTTTAGCTGAACTCTGTATTTATAGGGCTATCTGGTAGCTGATGTAGTGAGCCGAGATTGATCGAATTTCTGAATGTAGTGAGGCATATATCCTTGACTAAAAAATAAAATAAAATAAAGCTGTTGGTGCTATGGGGGACTTATGCATCATTCCTATATATTTTGCAAACTTGAAATGCGTTTGGATAAAATAAGTCTACATATTAGCCCAGTTAGTTGACCCAAAAAATATGAACAATGTCGTTGTTACTTGTATGTAAGGTTGGCCAGAAAATGTTTTAGGTTAAATATACATTTTTGTTCATAGCCACTATAATTCAATTCAAGCAACACAAAAAAAAAATCAATCATACCAAATATATTTCAAAAAGTAGCATATTAATTGCTTTATTATTAAAGTTTTTAAGCACAACTATAAATTTCCTACAACCTTCTTACAAAATGCGTGCCTCCTTCAACTAAATCCTTTCTTTAGATGATGCCTCTCGCTTGACCGAATTTTCCATCAACATTGACATTAATATGGAGCAGATAAAATTGAATATTGAATATAGACATCACACTTTATGTTTTGTTTATAAAAAACAAAAAATTATATTATATTAAATTGAATGCTTCGCATATGACATTTTTATTCAGTTGTCATGAGAAATTTGGAAAATTGCGCCACCTTCGGGGCTTGCAAGAAAAGTAACACAAACATTACGAAAATATGCAAATGAAATATTTGCGCTACAAAATTTATGCAAACCGTTGAGATGGATGGAAACCTCACGCCCCAAGTTGTGCCATGGCCAGCTGACGTCAGTGGTCGCCAGAAGTTGCGGTCCCCGTTGGCCCTTGTTTACCGCAAATGTTTGCGTAATATCTTGACATTTGTGTTGTCTTGTTTCGGCCGAAAATATACATACAGGATATACATACTCGTACATACGCATGTATTAATATTTATATGTACATGCATAAGTAAGAATAACGTGAGGTAGAAGCGGAAGGGACGCGAAACAGTATGATAATATTAGTGGATTAACTAATTCAATCTGTGGCAAGTGCTTCGTGGTCAAGTTTTTGCCAAACTTGGCTCAACGGCGGTTTCCTTTTAAACATATTGCAACACTTGGATCCATTTCCGCTTCCGTTGGCCGTTAAGAATGGATTTATATTTCTATCAGCACAATCAGAGCTCGCAGCTTATTCACATCTCGTTTCGGCTGCTGCCAATTAACGTTTCTTACATGCTCCAAATTATGGCTAACAATTAGTGTGCTTTATGCTTGCTCGACGACCCTATGCTGCTCATTATGGTAATTTTTCGCATGCCTATTTGAATAATTAACTAGATGAAAATATGTCCTCTGGTCACGTGTTTGTTGCTTATGTGATTAGTCCACACAATTCTAGTTGTGCGTTTATAGCCCCGCGGTCGGCGAGCTTTGCATTAAATATACGAGCACTCTTATGTCGTGTTGAAAACCAAACTACGACATTGCTGTCAAGCTGTTTGGCTACGAATCCTTGAGAAAATTGAATCGCTTATGTTTTCCGGCAATCCAAAAATAGTACCATGTCAACAAAATTGTTACGTAATTTCGGCAATGTCGCCAAACTAGCGAATTCCGTTTGCTGCGATCCCCCACAGCAACTGCTACTGTGGAGTTCTAGCACAAAGGAATCAAAGAGGCGCCTACTAACGCCACCAAAAGCCGAGCCGAATGTCGAGGTGTTGAGCGATACCTTCGTGCCAGAGTTAGTATTTAAATACAATCCGCTAAAGTACTATCTGAGTAAAATGAAAATGTGGAAACTGAAGTGGACTTGGGATCGCTCCTTCAGTGAGAGTCAATTTGTGGATCAATCCAAACAGGCAGCTGCCACTTTGACGGATATTGTGCGGTTGCGCGACACAGAGAAAATTGCCGAGTTCTCCACCTCGAATGCCTACTACCAGATGGCCAACGAATTGATCAACTTTCCTCATGAGTCCTGCGCAGAGTTGCTGCATTTTCGCAAGGACCACATCCGTCAAGCGGTGCCCATCAAAGTGCAATTGCATAATGTTCTAGGCCTAAAATATGCGGTGATAGACGTGATAATGGTGGGGTTACGGCATGTGGGCGATTGCGAGGGTGGCGGAGATTTGGACAAGATGAAGCAGGCTCTGATCGAAATGGATCCCGAGCTAAAGGACCAGATCACTGGACCTACTATGCAGCTACCCTATGTTTTTATTGAGCTTTTTATGCGCTTTCGACGCAACTACTCAAATGTGAATCAGCCTATTGGCGGGCAACCGGAAAAGGCAACAAGCCCCTGGTTGGTCTCGGTGTACAAAATATGTAGATTTAACATCTTCACTATGCCGCCTACTATGGAAACATAAGATATTTTCCGTTCAAACATATTTTTTACATAAACGTTACCTACATTACTTGTATTCTAAAAAAAAAAAATTCCAATCTTACACCCAAAAATAAAACATTCACCTCCATTTTCACAAGACTTTAGAACCTCAAGAAGTTACATCAATTAGTAACGCGTGATTACGTATTTACTTATTCTTTTGTTTCAATGCGGTCGATGTTGAAATAAATTTTATCGATTTAAATTTTGGCACACGAATAAATTGTTTTCATTTCTTACATGATGTATAAATTTGATTACATTAATAAAAGCAAAAAGTAGTGACCAATAATTTTGTGGAGCGCGGAATCACAACATTTTTAGCATTTCGTTCTAAATTTTCTTGATCTGCGTACGTATCAAAAATTTTTATTTCAGCAACAACTTATTTTGACTGGTTCGATATATTCGATAGTTTTTTAACAAGAACAAATCTATAGTAGTGAATTTCCCCTAATGTATTATTATCAATTAATAGATAGTTATATTCCTTTTGACATACATTAACGTTATTTTTTATTTTATGGCTTATAATTAAGTATATTTTAGCTATGACAAGAAACCATAGAAGATATACATATATGCCAGTCCAATTCGACTCATCCCCAAATGCTGGCAGTGTTACCAAATCATTGGATGTTTAAAATAGACATTTAATTTGTTATCGACCTAATTTGTTATCGACAGTGCATGCGTTTCAGTTGGCTTGAATTCCGTTGTCTAATTGGCAGTCATTTTTTGAGTTTGTATGTATAAGTGCCTTTGTCAAAAATTTTGATTAGGATCATTGACTTTCCGTTTGTGGGTTTTTTAAAAATTTATGGAAAGGTGGGTACTGCAGGGCTTTTTAGATTCATGCTTATTCTCAAATTTTCCAGCATGTATGCGCACCGCAAACAGTTAAAAATGTCGGCTGAGTTAAGTGCGTGCCGAGGGATTATAAAGAAATTATTTTCGAGTAGATACAAAAATATTGCATGGATATTCTATGAGCCAATCGAACCACAGCTGCTGGGCCTAACCGACTATTTCGAAATTGTAAAGGAACCCATGGATCTATCAACTGTGAAACATAGACTGTCTTCGGGATACTATTTGACGGCAACTGATTTCGCCAAGGATGTGCGCCTTATATTTTTCAACACCTACCTCTATACAAATCCAACACATGTGTGCTACGGGATGGCAGTGGAACTCCAACACATCTTTGAGGGGCTTTTTTCTAAATTACAAGTGCGTGAAGACGACCAAATGCGTATCAAACGGAAGGTGTCTGACGCAGATTCCGAGTGTGACAGTAATGAAACCTCTAAGAACGTTCAGATCTCTTTAAACAAAGCTCTATCAGACGAACCTAATCCACCACTTGAGGCTGCAAGAAAACAAAAGACATCGTTCGCAGAAAAATGGGGTCGCTGTTTTGAGGAGCAACCATTGACGGCCGCTGAAGATTTGGATTTACATGGAAGGGTACAACAACTTGACGGTGAAGTTTTATTGAAGGTCATTCACATGATACATCAACTAGAGGGACTGAACACCACATGCACCAATAAGGAGCTTGAATTTGATGTCGGCGCCCTCAAAACTCACACAAAGCGCACCATTCTCTCCTATTTGGCAAGCAAGGGTATTACCGGGAAGCGGGCACGTATCTCGAATTACAAGTACCAGTAAATTAATAATACTATTGTTTACAATTCGTGATATGCAGATAGTAGATACTAATGTGAACATATTATTTATTCAATGCTTTTAATAAATATAATTTTCTGAACGAAATTTATTTCTTCATACGAGGATGAGAACTGCATTACAAGTAATTTATTATAAGGCCCATAGATTATAGCCCGTAGTCGCTTTATAGTACATAATTTTAGGATTGTGCGATGTACAACAAAAATAATTTTTAAGGGGAGCTCTACCATGCATTTAAAGGGTAAACTACTTGCCAATAGCTTTGTGAGTGCATCGGAGAACATAGAACTAGATAATACGGGTGTATTATTTCTGATGCAACACTTTCTTCGCCTCAGGTGTCATTCATTTACATTTCAATAACTCAAAATTAATCAATTTTTTGGTTGTTGGGCCATAAAATTCAGATCCTGACTAGAGAATGAACATTGAACAATAATTGGAACCGCCAGAATGCATGGCAAAAGTGAGTGTACGAAACCCCATAGACTTTGCTCCAAGAGAGCGTGTTCGCGTCGCTGTTCGCAGTTGTCTTGGTTCCGTCGACCGTCCTGCAATCGACTGGGCTCTTATACACGTTCTGTGGCCTATACATGGCCGATAAATCAAGTAGCACAATGGGTGTCATCGGCATTAGCAAGAGGCACATCGCCCTCAGTAATATGTCAGTGTCCGTTTTTCCCCTCGAAGTCGAATCGATTCCATTCCGATACTCAAACATGCACGTCCCCATGTTGTCAAGTTGTGAATGAGAGTGAGCCCACCAAGAGTATATCAAGCAATTCCGTTTTGATCGAAGCATGTGCTCAAACAGACCTTACATATAATCCAGACGGAGGAGCCGAAGATCATTTGGCATTGGAAATTGAATCAATCGATGAAGACAATTTAGCCCAATTATCCAAGTATAAAAATGATTCTGATTATTCACAAACTGCAATAGATGTTAACACGTCGTCATCATCACATTCATGGTCCGATGAGGAAGCTATATTACGTATCAATATATATCACACTGCAAATGGAGAACTCAATACCGAGACAGACGAACATAATTCGTATACTGGACTAAGAAAGAGCAATCCGATTATGGATTGGATTCCACCTACACAGCCTATATCAACGGTCATTCTAAAGTCTTACGCTATAGTCCCTGAAGTAGTTGATTATGGCGGGTATGGTAGAAATATGGTCGCCAGTGATGAGCCTCAGGTTTTAAAAAAGCGACGGGTTTTAACTAAGAAAAATAGCACCGTAAAAAGTCGTAAGGCTGCCTTAACAAACCCATTTAGATTTAAGAGAAGCAAACCGAAAGCACAGCATAACAGCATCGCGCAACGAGACTGTGAAAACACTTTGTCACCTTTTGTCTATATAGAATCAATCTGTCCAAAAAGCCTGGAACAGAAAGAACAAAATCCTCCGAACTACTGTCCTTATGCCGTGGCACAAAATGAAGAACGTTCTAATAATCTCTCTCGAATGAAGAATAATCCAATAAGCAAGCGATGCAATTCAAAACACTGTACCTTCTGCTTACAGAAACCCGAATCAAATACTTGTACCAAAGGACAAAATGTTCCTCAATACGAAGCACAATACGATAAAAATCAAGGTGCTTGTGGGCCAAATGGAAGATATCAAAATTCCCAGGGGTGCGGACAAAATTTTAGGAGAAATCTAAATGACCGATGCAATATGCCTTGCAGGCAATCGCCTCAATATAATAGAACGCAGGCCCCCAACCAGTGTTGGAAAGATCAGGTTGTTGCTCCTTCAAATTACGCTGTTAATGACGGTTATTTTATCCCGACACAGAACTACAAACAAAATAATATTTACAGTACCCAACAAAGAAGCCAAATCGGACCCTGCAAGTGTAAAAAATCAGAAACATGTTCTATGCCATATAGACAAATAAATCAAAATAGAAAAGTGAGTCAAAAGACTCCTTCAAGAGTCTGCAACGTAAATAAAAGTAGGAACGGATTCCAACAAAATCGAACGGGTAAAACGGGTTCCCGTTGTGGCGTGAGGAACAGAAACACAACTTATGATGACAGAACAGGACATTTAATATATAGTGATCGCGAAGAATCTTTTACTAATGTGAAGCGAAGAGGGTCGCAATATGGTAAGCGAAATCAAGTTCCTCCCCCTCGAGGAATGAGAAAGGAATACGGAGAAGTTCCCCCCTCTAATAGGCCTTCAGTGAACTCTTTCTATGAAGATAAGGTACGAGAATTAAGTTGTCATTCTTCAATGGACTGCTATAAAGATGTTGAGCGGAGAGAATCAAAATACAACGAAAGATACCGTCAACCTTGTGCTGAAGGAGAGGAATGTGGAGAGATTCCTGTGTCGTGTCGCCCGTCAATGGAATGCTTCAATAACATGGGGGAAACAGAATCAACCTGTCGGCCTTCAATGGAGTGTTTCAAAAATATGGAGGAATATGATATTGTGGAATCCTCGTGCCGCCCTTCAATGGAGTGTTTCAAAAATATGATGGAATATGAAATTGAGGAATCATCGTGCCGCCCTTCAATGGAATGTTTTAAAGATATGGAACGAAGAGAATCAACATGTCGCCCTTCAATGGAGTGTTTCAAAAATAGGGAGCAAAGAAAATCTTCAGGTCGTCCATCAATGAAATATTTCAAAAAAGAATCTTCGTGCCGCCCTTCAATGGATTGCTTCAATGATATGGAGCGAAGGGAATCAAACTGTCGTCCTTCGATGGATTGCTTTAAAAATAGGGAGCGAAGAGAATCAAATTGTCGACCTTCAATGGGTTGCTTAAAAGATATGGAGCGAAGAGAATCAACGTGTCGGCCTTCAATGGCTTGTTTCAAAGATATGGAACGAAGAGAATCAACATGTCGCCCTTCAATGGCTTGTTTCAAAGAAATGGAACGAAGAGAATCGACCTGTCGTCCTTCAATGGCTTGTTTCAAAGAAATGGAACGAAGAGAATCATGTCGCCCTTCAATGGATTGTTTCAAAGATATGGAACGAAGAGAATCAACATGTCGCCCTTCAATGGCTTGTTTTAAAGATGTGGAACGAAGAGAATCGACGTGTCGTCCTTCAATGGATTGTTTTAAAAATAGGGAGCAAAGAGAATTAAATTGTCGCCCTTCAATGGATTGTTTCCAGGATATAGAACGAAGGGAATCGACGTGTCGTCCTTCAATGGAGTGTTTTAAAAATATGGAGCGGTATGAACCAGGATCTCTCCGACCTTCAAGGGAATATTTCAACAATATGCAACAAAAAATAACATCTTGTAGACCTTCAATGGAATGTTTTAACAACATACAGCAAATGGAATCATCTTGCCGCCCTTCAATGGATTGTTTTAGAAATGTCCAAAAAAGACAATCAAGACAACCACCAATTTGTGGAGAGGGTGAAGAATGCTACATCCAGCCTTCACGTCGACCTTCCATGACAAAACAATCAAGGGAATCTGTTTGTGGTGAAGGCGAAGAATGCCAAGATACTCAAATATCGTGTCGACCTTCAATGGCCTGTTATACTGGCATTCTTCGCAGAGATTCCAAGTACATGAACAGAACGGAACCTCCATTATGTGCCGAAGGTGAAGTATGCCAAGATATTCAGCCATCGTGTCGCCCTTCTATGGCCTGTTTTAATAAAGATCAGGAAAGACAATCAATAGAATTGCCTCCTTGTGGTGAAGGTGAAGAATGCCATGATATGCAACCCTCATGTCGTCCATCGATGTCCTGCTTCAATAAAGATGAGCGAAGACAATCAAGAAAGATTTCTTCTTGTGGTGAAGGTGAAGAGTGCCGTGATGTGCAACCATCATGTCGTCCATCGATGGCCTGCTTCAATAAAGATGAGCGAAGACAATCAAGAAAGATTTCTCCTTGTGGTGAAGGTGAGGAATGCCTTGACGTGCAACCATCATGTCGTCCATCGATGGCCTGCTTCAATAATGATGAGCGAAGACAATCAAGAAAGATTTCTCCTTGTGGTGAAGGTGAAGAATGCCTTGACGTGCAACCATCATGTCGTCCATCGATGGCCTGCTTCAATAATGATGAGCGAAGACAATCAAGAAAGATTTCTCCTTGTGGTGAAGGTGAAGAATGCCTTGACGTGCAACCATCATGTCGTCCATCGATGGCCTGCTTCAATAAAGATGAGCGAAGACAATCAAGAAAGATTTCTCCTTGTGGTGAAGGTGAAGAATGCCTTGACGTGCAACCATCATGTCGTCCATCGATGGCCTGCTTCAATAATGATGAGCGAAGACAATCAAGAAAGATTTCTCCTTGTGGTGAAGGTGAAGAATGCCTTGACGTGCAACCATCATGTCGTCCATCGATGGCCTGCTTCAATAATGATGAGCGAAGACAATCAAGAAAGATTTCTCCTTGTGGTGAAGGTGAAGAATGCCTTGACGTGCAACCATCATGTCGTCCATCGATGGCCTGCTTCAATAAAGATGAGCCAAGACAATCAAGAGAAGTTCCTCCTTGTGGTGAAGGTGAAGAATGCCATGACGTGCAACCATCATGTCGTCCATCGATGGCCTGCTTCAATAAAGATGAGCGAAGACAATCAAGAAAGATTTCTCCTTGTGGTGAAGGTGAAGAGTGCCATGACGTGCAACCATCATGTCGTCCATCGATGGCCTGCTTCAATAAAGATGAGCGAAGACAATCAAGAAAGATTTCTCCTTGTGGTGAAGGTGAAGAATGCCTTGACGTGCAACCATCATGTCGTCCATCGATGGCCTGCTTCAATATAGATGAGCGAAGACAATCAAGAAAGATTTCTCCTTGTGGTGAAGGTGAAGAATGCCATGACCGGCAACCATCATATCGTCCATCGATGGCCTGCTTCAATAAAGATGAGCGAAGACAATCAAGAGAAGTTCCTCCTTGTGGTGAAGGTGAAGAATGCCATGACGTGCAACCATCATGTCGTCCTTCCATGGCTTGCTTTAATAAAATCCAACAAAGAGAATCAAGAGTAGCTTCTTGTGGTGAAGGCGAAGATTGCCATAATCTTCAATCGTCCTGTCGCCCTTCCATGGCCTGCTTTAATAATGATCAGCAAAGGGAATTAGTATCACCACCATCTTGTAGTAAAGGTAAAGATTGTGATCAGACTCAATCGTCCTGCCGCCCTTCTATGGACTGCTTCAAGAAGGACCAACGAAGAAAATCAAGTCGCACTGCGTCTTGTCGCCCATCGATGGAGTGTTTCAATAAAGATAATCGAAGACCATCAAGGCCTTGTGGCGATAAAGGAAACCAAATAAACCGACTCTCAACACACCCTTCACTGCATTCCTTGCACAATATGTCGCGTAGAGAATCAAGATTGAATGGAAAAACAACTGGGTCTCCTTGTGGTGCAAAAAAGTTGACGCAGAGCAGGGGATCAAGGAGTAGCGCACAAGAAAAACGACAAAGTTGCCCCTCAGCCCTTCCATCTCGAAGAGAATCGAGGTTGATTGAAAAATCAGGCCATTCTTCTTCCAGTGGTGAAAAGAAAGATTCATCGTGTAGGGGCTCGAGAAAGAGTGTAACAGAAAAACTGCAAAATTGCCCTCCAGCTCGCCCTTCAATGCCCTCCCGAAGAGGATCGAAGGCAAATGAGAAAAGAAACATGTCTTCTTCTTGTGGTGGAGATCCAGAATGCAGAGAGAAGCGGACAAGGCCAAAACAGTCATCGCGTAGCGGAGTTAAAAATGAGGAGACACTTAAAGAACGAAGGCAATCAAAGCGAAATGAAAAAACACAAACAACATATTGTGCTGGAGGTGAGGAAGAGCAGGTGGAAGAGCATGAGAAAAGTACATATTATACACAAAGAACACCTGATGGACCCAAAAAAAAGGAAAATATTGTCCATGACGACAGCGCTTCAATAATGATTTCCTACGGAAATTTAAATGATAAGCTTATAGATTGGCCTAAGTCATCACAATCGGGGGAATTTCCATCTTCAGACCCACCGAAACAAGCGAGAGAGTTGGAACAACCACAACGGGAATGTTGCTTAACCCAAGACTGCACTGAAATGGAAGAGCCACCCAAGGAGCCCTGCAACGACGACTGTAAGAAAAAGTGCAAAAGAGGCATATGCAAAAAGGCAAAGTGTTACTTTTATTTCCGGCCCCTGGCCTGTTCTTATACATGCCCGTGTGGTTGCGGCTGTGCCTGTCCCTGCACTTGTTCGCCAATATTTGTATACACCTGTCCATATACTGTGCGCTGTGGCGTGAATCGTGTACCACTCTGTAGATATAACAGCAATCGACTTCGTTACTATACCCCTAGGCGAGGTTCTCGGCGATAATTTTATACCGAACCGCTCCAGCTAAAGCAGTTATGATACATATATTGCAATAATGCGACCCGAAAACAGAACAATAAAGGCCCAACAACCAATCCTGGCTTTTATTCGTGGGCAACACATTTTACAGCACTAACACATGGCACAGATTGTGGAAAACTCTAAATTCTCGAAGCTTAGTCAACTGCCAATGTACTGCATTTTCCGAATTAAAAATAACGAGAATGAGTCTAAATGGAAGTGCCGATGGTTGTGCATGCCAAACAGACCACATTTTATGTGCTTGCATAAATTGTTTTCTTCCAGCTCAATAGTGCGGATTTGTGGCTTTTCCTCATTGCTTTCGTTCTAAATGAAATTACCTAATTAATTGTTTTTTTTTAGGTACCTGATTTTTAGTTGAGATTAGAGTGCGATTGTAGATTTTAGAGCATTTGAGCTTCTTCTACCCAATATATTTTATATACACATACATCATTCAATTTCAGGCATTCTACCGGTGTGTGGATACGGCAGGGATATTGAGGAAAGACCACCAGATCGAACAAAATTAAGACATCGTAATACCGTACGCTGTGCTGGAGGTCAAAAATATGAATTGAAAAAGCCAAGGAACCAATTTTTGCAGGTACTACCACTTAAAGGATCTTTTCAACACCATGATATTGTCCACGATGATGATACCTCAACCGTCATCTCATTTGGAAATGTTAGTCATAGGGCCATTCAATCCAAAACTTCATTGAGGCAATCGGAGGATCAAGTACAACAACAAGATCCAGAACCAGCTGAAGAAGAGAAACAACCCGAAGAAGTACAGCCGAAGCCCATAGTCCCTTCAAGCGGTGGAGGTGCCCCAACACAAAATACAACAACAACACTATGTGTTTACGATGAGAAAATTCCATGTCGCAAGTTCTTCTTTTACGTTCAGCCCATAGCGTGTCCGTGCCCGTGTCCGTGTACCCGAAGGTGTAGATATCACTGCACTGGTGCATCGGGGTCCAAGAGCAGTTACCCCTATGCTGGTGGATGCGGACTCTGGCGGCCAGCAGTTTGGTGGTGTAACCGCCCTCGGTTTTGCTGCCATAATCGCCCACGGCTACGTTACTAGCTCCCATAGCTCCACTATGCCCAACTACAGAACCATTGTAATCCAAAAATAAAAGGCCCAACAAATAACGTGCAGTTTTAATATAGACTTTGTAATCATTAAGCACAAGATTTTGGTAAATGCTTAAAATTAAGTGTATTTATACTCTGTACATGAAATGTACAAGAGTATATTAGGTTTGCGGGAGCTGAAAAATGTAACAGGCAGAAGGAGGCGTGGCAGACCCCACAAAGTATATATATTCTTGATCAGCATGACGAGACGAGTCGATCTAGCCCTGTCTGTCTGTCTGTCTGTCAGTCTGTCCGTCTGTCCGTCTGTATGAACACCTGGATCTCAGAGACTATAAGAGATAGAGACACCAAATTTTGCACAAAGATGCCTTATGTGTGTATTCTATACGAGTTTGTTTTATTTTTTTGATTTTCCCCCCCACTTCCCCCCTATGGGGGTTTTCCCGATTTTCCATTCGTATAATCGCCTATATCTCGGAGACTATAAGACCTAGGAACACCAAATTTTAGTCCCAGATGCCTTATGTGAATACGCAGAAAATGTATATTTTGGAATTTCCGTAACTCCCGTAATTCTTGGAATTTCGAACTAAAATTTTGGAAATACCCCCAGTTGGTTATTATGTGTCCGTATGCCAAATTTCATTATGATAGACCGATTTAACAAGAAGTTATAGCCATAAATATATTTGCTGCTGCAGCGCTGCTCAAGCGCTGCTCAAGCGCTGCCCGCTGTTGTTGATGTTGCTGTTTGGTTGACTGCGAAAATGCTTACACATACACGAATAGCTGCGCATAGGCATACATACACTCACACAGACGCAATTGCTATGTAAATGTGCAATTATACGTGAGTTCGAATACCGAGAGAGGTAAAAACGATCAAATTTTTTTTTATATTCTTAATTTTTTTTATTTTCTATAATTATTGTAAACATATGTACAGACTATTTCAAAGTCGGGACACCCGACTTTAGCTTTTTTACTTGTTTTTTTACAGACTTTGATTATCAAAATATGTTATAATATTTATAATTCCTGCAAAGGCAGATGGATGTTTTAGGTATTGCCGCGTAAGTATTACAATATACTTGTATATATTTCAGGAAACCTGAAGAGTAAAGCTGTTGGTATTCACTATTTTGTACTTATTTTTATATTCGAATATTGCTGTTAGTAGCAGGCGTCGATGGACTGCCTACAACAACGGACATTTTGCCGTCTTGTCTGTTTCCCAACACCGGCGATGTGGGTTTGTCATTTTGGTGCGTTGCGGGAAATTAGATATTTTATTTACGGATATTAAATGCCTAACATCATGGCTTTGATACTGTGGCAAACAACGTAGGCTTAGGCTGCGAGTACCTGGCGAAAAGGATACATTTTATGAATGGGCCTCGGCCAGACACATCGATATGCACAAGTTTGTATTGAATATTGGTATGCAGTTGCATAAGCACGTCCTTCAGCCGTACTCTGACCTTTTAAATGCACATTTTGTCTTTGGAATAATTTAGTAACTTGCTGCGCCCAAAGGAGGCTCGAGTACAAAAATCTGTTTGGGGAAGATGATGGAGCGGAAGTTGACTTTTGGCCACTAAAAGTTTTCGGTAAATTCACTTGGTACGAGCATCAAGGTAGACTAAAACTAAGCTTGAGCTGCTCCGCATCGTTGATGTGGCTGTGGATGTTGATGTTGCTGGCCCCGTTCGTTGCTTGTCATTTTATTTTGTTTCATGTTTTATTCACCACTTCCGCCGGAAATAGACATACGGGCGTGCACACATACACACGCGCACACACACACACACAAGCTGGTACACCCAAAGGCACTTGCTCATACAATATACTCGTGCTCGTATCTCGTTTGACAGGCATCGATGTGTAGGCAGGCGGCCCGACTAGCAAACATTTATTTTGCTCAACAAAGTAGAAACTGTTTTGCAAACAAATCCCACATAAATGCTCAATTTATAACAAACCGGAAGTTAAACTTAATCAAGCGTACTTTTTGGCTTATTGTTTAGTTCTGTGTGCCGCTCGCCCTCTTTTTCCGTATTTACTTAACATATTTTATTGCAATACTTTGTTGGCACTGCCTACATACTGGTACGTACGGGTATACACATATACGAGTATGATACATCGCTTTCCTCCGGCCAGATTACTGTGGGATTTGTATGAGTGCTTTAGAATATGTTCTCCTGTATATATACTCGTACATGTCCTGGTATGTATGTATAGTATGTTATGAATGTGTTTTCATTTTTACTGTTTCTGTGCCTCCATTTCGACCGTTGTTGCCATTGTGCAGGCCAATTTTAGCCATTTATTTATTTATTTATTTTTTTTTTTTGTTGGCAGACACTCGTACCTACACATTTCATTGTCGACTGCTTGTGATAAATTGTGAGTAGAGTGGAGAGTTAACATGCACGTGAACATATGGGGATCATTTATTACAGTGCCTACTATAAGTGTACAAGTAGCCGAGCTTTGCATTTGAATATTTAATAAGGAGCCCTTACAATCTGGTCGATCAAATCGAGACTCAATTTATTATATCTGCTTTGCTTAAGCCTCAATCTTCTATCCATAAAGTGTGAAGCGGAGATTGGACTCTAAAGTACTATTTTAATTGTAAGTACACGTATGAAGATAAAAAATTGATAGGTTCCTCAGTTAATCAGACATCTACATTTGAAATACATTTCCGAAAAGTTCCACATATCGTCTTGTAAAACTTGGACTGAGCTAAAGAATCAATGACAATTCATGTGTCTTAAAAACGTTGGGGATTTTCTGATCTGAGTATATCAAGGCAAGTATTTTGATGTGTGATGTTAATTAAAATAAAAAAAATGTAGATTGACGATGTAGCTATTGACGAAATTCTGTAGCGGGGGAAGGGGGGGAAAATTCCAAAAAATAAAATAAACCCGTCCTTTCTCGGACCTAGGAGAATCTGGATGCCAACTTTGGTTATTCTAGCTTTTATAGTTTCTGAGATCCTCGCGTTCATCCAGACGGACGGACAGACGGACAGACGGGCGGACGGACGGACATGTCTAGATCGATTTCTCTCGTCATGCTGATTCAGAATATATATACTTTATGGGGTCGGAGATGCTTCCTTCTGCATGTTACATACTTTGCACAAACTTAATATATCCTTTTTATCCTACGGGTACAGGGTATAAAAATACAAAGTAGGTAATGGGTTCGTGATGGGTTCTTCTTAACATACTTATAACAAAGTACACACCAAGCATTAAATAAGTTTCAAATTTCTTTACTGCTATCCGACGAATAATTCCTTGAAATCTGGACTATTCTATAAATATTGCAAGAGCAAGATTGTGTTGTAAAGAGTTTGGCGCCACAGTTTAATAATGTAGGTATACGAAAATTAAACTTATTACGATTGTGTACATTTATATGAGAAAATTGCATTTGGCATATTATTAAGAACCGCTTTCTAGTGGCCATTTTCGCTCAAATCCTCACCAATTAACACAATTGAAATCAATTTGCGATGAATCAACCACCTGGGCCTCTAGCTGGGCGCCTCCATCTCTCATTTGAAATTGTTTGGCTTGGGGCTGCACAACTCAAGTGCAAGTGGTGGTACAATTAGACAAACATACATACATTTTGCGAGGCGTGACAGGGATGGGGCAGTGGCAGGAGCAGGGGGGGGGGGGGGGGGGGGTAACATTGAGCGAAGCTTAAAACTACGCAAATTGTGTGAAGCTCAGAACTAAGTAAACTAACGAGCATCAGCAAATGCATTCCCATTCGCATACAAGTAGACATATGTATGTCTACATACTACACGTATACATACAAGTATGTGTATAGGCACGTGTATGTGTGCGAGACAAGTGTTTTGCATTTGCTAATACATACGGTAATTGGATGATTCCGATGGACATGAGCCAATGTCTACAATGCTCCAGAGAGCATCGGAAGTCCATGAACACGGCCATATTTGTAAAGACTGTTGAATGAGCATTTACACATGTGCAATGTTAGCTGGATATGTGAATAGGTGACAACAAGTGTGTTTCAACCAACACTAAAATGGTATATTAAGTAAGTTCCTTGGGAGCAGTGGTACAATTCTAAGATCTGTCCTGGGTTGGACAGTTATTAAATTTTATGAAAACTCTTGATCATGCATCTGCGATCACCCACCTGGACAAACTCACAGTGTCAGCCACAATATTAAGCTTTAAGAGGCTGGAAAAATTGTTGTTATATTCACTGAAAGCCAGCATAGTATTTACAATCAACAGCAACACACAACTATGTGAATTAAATATTTTCGGCCACAGAGAAAAGTCTAAGCTTATTATCAAAATTATAAAGTATGGGAATATGCCCATAAAACCGAGTCATAACGTCGGCTGTATTCGATTTCTGCTCGGCCGTAATAATGTGCGAAGAAGCCTGCAGAGCATTCGTACATTTCAGCTGAGGCACTGCCCTAGTCCGATCCTGAAGAAGCTTCACGAGCATCGCCGTTTGCAGCACCGCCAGCTAGGGGTCGAGGATGATATCAAATGGATCTTTCAGTTGGAAGTTTTGCGCGCTAGGGACTCGAAGAAACTGTCACTGCCACTGCTCATCTACATGTACAGTCCATGGAAGTATATGGCCAACAAGGCCAACATGTTGAAGCTGAAGCTGTTGTGGGACTGGACATTTGCCGAAGCGAGATTCGTGGAGAACTCGAAGAAGGCGGCCGTCGTCATCACAGAAATCATACGTCAAAAGGATCCCAATCACATAGCCCGTTGCACCACGCCACTGGGCTTCAAGCAAATAAAGCACGACCTAGCAGATGAGACGGAGAACACGCCCCTGCAACTTATGCGCTTCCAGCGGCAGCACATAAAACGCGCCATTCCGGTCACAGTCCGGCTGATGCGTCACTATGATCACAAGTTCGCCTTCATCGACATGGTTTTTGTAGGGCTGCGACGCACGATCGATTTCGAATCAAAGGAGGACCAAGAAGTGGAGCGTCAGATACAAGAGTTGAATTTTCAGCAAACAGAAGCAGCTGGCGAGCTCCCAGTTCCGCATCCCGTTGTGTTCGCCGAGATCTTCGTTAGATTTCGACGCGACTACTCGGTGAAGCCAAAGGGTGTGGAGAGAGCGCAGGACATCGGATGTCCCGGCCAGTGGCTTGTCTCAAACTATAAGATACTAAATTTTAACGTGCTCAACTTCGATCCGGAATACCAGAGTTCTAACGCCAAAGTCTACGATGTCTGAAAGTAGGAAGTAACTAGAAATTAAAAATGCAACCTTTCACTGTGGCTTTGGCGTGCAACGTAAAAATAAAATATCTGTTCGTTTTAAGAAGAAACTTAGTGTTTTTCTTTCAAATGTTAAAATACTCACAATCGCACATGGCTTATTGCTAGAAATATTCCAAACTTCCAAACAAGCAAAATCGATATCTTTGTTTTGTGCTAAAATCTTTGTATTTTGAAATGAATTTTTTTATTTGTCTGCAAATTATTTGCAAGTCTGCCCATAGCTCTATTCTGCTCTATTTCTTCTATTAGTATTATTCATTAGCTTCAGTATTGCCTGTTGAATTTGCACATTTCTGCATTTTTATATACTGCTGCGAGTTTGAGAAAAATATAAGAAAATATTTTCATGAGAAAGGCAAACATGCAGAGCGACAATTCGCAGGGGTATAGCATAATCTCACGATAATGAAGCAAGTGCTATGCGGGCGCCTGATGATGCCGCATCCGCAGTCCGGCTCCATCACTCAACCACACGTATAGTATACTGGGTGGGAGTGCAACGCGCTCAGCTGCTTCTCGAGTCTACCAAATAGGCTACACGTCTGCGCTGGCACGAGGTGGCACGTTCTCGGGTCAAAATAAACCATGCTTGATATTTGTTGAATGAAAAAGTAAAAATAGTTAAATTCAAGCTGTGCGCTTCGTGTCCTTATAAACAAAGGCTGCAGCTTCTGAATTTTAAACTGCACCTGGGAGAAGCTGTAGGAGCTGTTGTGGCTAATAATAATAGCTAATAAGAACAGAGACAACATAATCACTAAAAGCAATACAAATTTAAAATTTAAAAGTGTACAAACAGTTGGTCATAAACAAGCTATCTTCTGTAAAGTCAAGGAGAGTTAATCTAATCACCTCTAAAAATGTTAGATATTTTAAGAGTATTTTTTATATTTTATTGAAATATCGTTGAAGCAACTACATTATATGGGATGGTTGCAAATAAGTCATCTGCACACTACGAACAACACAGGGATCTGCCCGACTTTGAAATATACTGTGATAAATTCATTAAAATATATATTGCTTAATAAACCCAAGCTGTCACAGATGATCTGAACAGTTGTAGGACCTAACCTAACCTAAGAGAATAGCTAAAAACAACGCAGATATATTTACCTTTACAAATGAAAGAATCCTTGATTGAACGAACAAGGCATAAATGGAAACATACCTTTAATTAATGAATATAGTGCTCGAGTTTGTTAGATCTTCAGGCTCTGATTGTGCCTAATTTGTGCGCCAATCTTCGAAATAGAAGTGGAAAGTAGTGAAAACAATTTAATTTCAAATAAAAGAATACAATGATTTTTCGATTGATTGATTGGTAGATAAAATATACCTCTATAATTAATTAATTACTCGCAATGTTTAATCTTTACTGTAGTCAGCGAACCAACCATGCCTGTAAAATTATTATTAGCATTATTATTCGAGTATTATTAGTATTATAGGCCAAAAAATAAGTTGGGAGTGCATTTTTGTTCTCACTTCCAAATTCAACTTGTAATCAGCCCGAACATCCGGTGTTGAAGGTAATTTTTCTCTTTGGCTGCCAATTGCCATATCTCAACGTGGGCAGACATATTTTCCAAAGTGGACGTTGCAGACACCTTGGGGCGTATACGCAATGTCGAGATATGGCCATTGCAGGCGCTTATCGGCACACGTTCGTCTGCAGCCTGCCAATAAGTAAAATTTAGTATGCGAATGGGCAAACGGTCTACACTCCCCTTTACGAGGGGTGTGGGTGCTACCTCCTATTCTATTGAATGCATTGAGTGCAAAAATGGTTGCGCCATTGCCCCAACTTTGATTTTGTTTAAAGTGCATGAACACTCTGTGGTTGCTAGTGTTGCTCTGGCTGTGGCTAGGGCTGTGGCATTTAAAGCATGTAATTTTACGCTTTTCATTTTACGCTCAATAATTTTTGTGGGCTCGTTAAGCAGGCGAAGCAATCTTTGCAAGTTCTGTGGTATTTATTTGATGTCAGCGACCCACTTGATTTCAAAGTAATAATAATAATTATAATGAATCCAAGCATGCAATTTATTCTGGGATGAAAACTAAAAGATATTGTAGGGGATGGGATTAATGCAGAGAATCTTGCTGACCTAGCTGATGCTGTTACATCATTTGTGTTTCGTGTGAGTTAATGCCGGAGTTAATGCCACATGCAAAAGAGGGTGAGAATGCTTTGAAATAAAATTACGAGTAGATACTTGAAATTCGAATATAGTACGGGTTATATATTATACGCAACCGTTGACCTTGCAGGAATAAAGTTTTTGTTGATTCGGCGCAGACAAAGATAACTTCTTGGCTCGTGTTGGAAATATGTAAGTAATAAGCTATTATATTTCAGTATATTTTAAAGCCAACCTCATGGAAAAATAATTCTTGAAGACCATTTATGGAATATGCGCCTTGTTTAGTTAGTTGTTCGGGTTTTCGGTTTTATTTCTTTTAAAAGTGCTTGTATATTCTTTTAAGTAAGAAAACTATAAGTTAACAAAGCTACTAAATTGTTACGCCAATAATGCCAAGCTTAACAAAGTACAAAACCCGTATGCTTGACTTGCTGCCTCTTCTCAGTGTAAAACGGACTTTTCTGCATTTGCGAGACCAAATTTTTTTGATTTTTTTGATTGGTTAATTATTTGGTTTATGATACTCCTAATCAGTTGGCTAAGATATAATAGTGGATCTAAATATTGTGTTATAAATACACTTTGTGGCTTGTATGTTAATTTGAATGCCCGGCAATCAATTACTTGTCCGCGTCGTTGATCTTAATAATTCAAATTTGTTTTTTTTTAAATGTTAGTAGCTAGTTTACAAATTTTGTTTATTTTATTGTTTTTATCTGACAACATTTCTACAACACGCATCGTTTCGCACACTTCTGAATAGTAACCCGTTTCAAAGGAAACTGAAGTGGCAGGAACTTGGACACATTGGAAAACTTGAAATTGTTTGTGAAATTGCAATGTCACGCGGCAGTGGGCGCCGGCCCCGCGATCTCGACGCCAACCCCACCAAGTCAACGTCAAAGTTTTGTGCCAGAAACTTGGCACCGAAACTCCGTAAAGTCCGTGCTCCATATTCTATACGTTTCGTAAACAAACAGACGAACGGGCGAGCAAACAATTTCATCGGCACATACGTTTAGTTTTCGGAGCAGTAGTTTCCAACTGCGTTAGTAGTGAGCAGACAAAGTGACATTTGGTCATTTCCAGTGATGACAATTTTATTTTGCACTGCGTTTGTTTCGCTGTAATGGCCAGCAGAATAAATGACGCTCCTGACAGAACAGTTTCAGGCGCGACGCGCCCGAACGGATGCTGATGACAATGGCTTTTTAAATTGTTTCACTGGAGTGTCAGCTTTGGTCAAAAAGTTTGGCACGAACGCGAGATAAATGAGCCAGTCCAGTACGTCTGCTAAGTACACGGCTTGGCCTTTCTCCAGGACACACCATGGCTGGTTGCATTTCCACATACGGCGGGGGATGAAGTGGAGCAAGAAGCAGCGGCAAGTCCAGGCAATGGAATTTTAACGTGCAATGACGCGACGGAAGGTGGAGGGAAAGGTGGAGGGGAAGGTGCTTGCAAAGCTGTCAATAGTTAGTAGCATGTAGCAGCAGCATCGTTCAGCGTCATTATCGTTGTCATCAGCATTACGATGCTACGTGATAATGAACATGAAGCGGAATCAGACTTTATGACTTCATTTCGTCAGCACCCACATCCCTGCTCCCGTCATCCGGCCATGTTGCTGCGGTTCTCTTGTCGCACTTTCAAATTGCAGGTGTGGCCACACCGCAGACGCATCAACTACAGCCGGCGGCTCCTTCCTCCGCATCGCGCCCAGCAAGTTAATGTTGCCTGTCCGGGCGGCAAAGTGCATTTGATGCTGCCGATGAGGCTGATGATGATGATGATGATGATGCACTTGTCGTCAGCTGCACGGCCCCACAGAGTGGTGGGTGCACGTTGCAGGCGCAATTAAAGTGACGTTCCTCAATTTGGTGTCGCGTTTTCATAGCGTCATATTACCGCTAAAAGCTTGGCAGCTACAAGATGCGTGGGTAGCGGCCGTCTGCCAAGTTTTTAAATTTATGGGTGGCGACCAAAGTGTTGTCCGTCGCTTGCCCTAATGGAAGGCCTTAAAGCTACACATCGTACTTCATTTTAAAGTAGAGAATACTTTTGTTTGTAGTTTATTGTTCCCCATGCTGTCCACAAGGACGCTGTACTTTCAATTTCAGAATTACATTTTAAGCTGTCGTTATTATATGATTTGAAATTGTAATAATTTTAATTGCAAAAACAAACTATCCTGTTTGTTATTCCAATCAAATTCTAATCCAAAATGAATTTACAATATTTACTTTTAAATTAAGCCGAATTTCTGTGTGTATTTGATACGTTTCCTAATTACTTTTCTGCGGTATAAAAATCTAGTGACGAATACTCGCTAGCGTGAGAAAGCCTTCGATGGGTGGAAAGTGGATACAGGAAAGTGAATAGTTAGTTGTCGGCAGATTAAAAGAAGCTGCAGTTTCTAAAGTACTAATTGTTATTGCAATTTACACCAACTTGAGAGTTGAATTGTTTAATCTCTTTAGAGTGAAAAAGTGCTACATTTTTCAACCCAACAATCGATTAAGGAGCTTGTAAACAAATCGCTTTTCCATAATTAAGTTGTGCAGAAAAATGTTGAGCTTCAGGAGCACGCCCCACATTTTAGGCACAATTGTTTGCTTTAGCAAGTCAACTATGTAGTCTATGTACATTGGCTTTTTCAAACTTGATGGAACTTTGCGAAAAATAATTAATTCAATGAAACAGCAGCAGAACATGTTCTATTTTTGGACAACATGTCAATGTGTAATACTTCGTCACTAGCGTAGACTGGCATTGCCCAGTTCCTAGGTCCAGGTACGTTTGTGTGTGTGTGTGTGTGTGTGAGTGTGTGTGTGTATGTGTATGTGTATATGCATTCATGCGCTAACATACATAAATGCAAAAGCTGCCATGTCGGCCAT